AGTAAGCACAGTCTCACGTTCTTTCAGCTGGCCCTGGTTCACCATGCATAAGGGTAGCATGGGGATTCCAACCAGGCGCTGTCCTCATACCTGTAGCCCTCTAACCAGCTGGTGGGTCATTGTGGGGATGATGCCTATTAGCGAGGATAAAGTCTAAGAGGACGGTGGTCACCACTAGCCAGGATGGGGCAGAGCTGGAATCTTAGCTAGGACTTGGCAAGTGCCCTAGTACCTGGTCTTGTTTTCCTGACAGGTTCTATTTCCCTACCGAGGGCCGGCACACAGTGGTAAGACTTACAGGGAGCAATCACACTCCCCTAGCTAAAACTGAGCAGCACCCAGCCTGTTCCAGGCATTGTGTTGTGTGCTTTAGATGGAGCTTATTTTCTTTTAATCCTTACAGCAGCCACCTGTGGTAGATACTACTCTTATCTGCTTTACAAATAACCGACTCTCTATAAAAGCCATCTTTATTCATCTCAGCAGTCTATTTACATGGATTCAAAAATAAGGCTCAGGGAAAGCAATCAATTTGCCTAACGTCCACATAGCTGATAAGTGGTAGAACTAACAGCTGAATCATGGTCAGCTTGACTCTACTGTCCTGTCTTTTTTTCCTTTGACTGTATTTTCAGTAAGTGTCTGTGGTGCACGAAACTGATAGAGTCAGCATCCCAAAGCACTGCCACAGGCTGGAATGCAGAACCAATCCCCAGTGATACATGAAAGCCATCATATTTAGCAGAAGCACACAGGAGAGGTTTACCTGCCCATCCAAAGGTCTGTGCACCCATCCACCCATGCATCCGGCTCCTGATCAGCAACTGAGCTACCTCTGTATCCATGGCAACACCATGAGGTTGGCTAGAGAGCCATGCCCACCACATAAGGGTGGGTAGGCAAGGTTCAGGGAGGACATATCAATAATCTCCCCCATGCCCATTCCATGCTGATCAGATCAGTTGCAGGGCACAGTATTTTTCCTCTGGCTCATTGAAATGAGAAAGAAATGGTAGTATTTTATTTGCAGGAGTACCTGAAACAACTGGGATTATAAAAAAAAACAACAACCAAAAAACAGATTTTCTTAGAGTAATTTTAGGTTCATAGTGAGATTGAGTGAAAGGTACAGGGATTTCCTAGGGACTCCCTGCCCTCACGTACAGAGGCCTCCCTGACTGTCAGTGGTTCCATATCAGAGCGGTATGTTTGTTACAGTCCATGAAGCGTCACCAACACATCACTTCACCTTCAGGCCGCAAGAGCCTGGGTTTGGGTGAGGTTGCACTGAGGGCCCACTTTGAGATCATGCTTTCCCGTGACCTCTGTCGCACTGCACCAAGGCCCGAACTCAGGGTTAGCTGACTCCCAAGCATAGGCAGGGCCTGAGAGCTGTGTTCTCTGTGGCCGGATGACTGCCATGTAGGGTGACACATGTGGAAAAGTGGCTTGGCCTGGAGTTGCCATCTCCTGAGGGGAGAGGCCTGGCTGTGTTATTCTGGGTGCCCTCATGGGGAAATGCCCAGACCAGGGAGTGAGACTTGTGGCAGGGACATTTTGTTTACATGACAGAATAGCCCTGGGGTAGCAGGGGTCCTCTAAGGACTGAAAGGTGCTGCCACCAGAGGCTCTGATGTTGATTTGTTTAATTTGGCTCCGCCTCTACAGAGTACCCACTGTGTGCCTGCCCCGGGCTGGGTGTCAGGGAGGAACAAGACATGCTCCCAGCTCTCGGGGTACAGTCTAGTGAGGGAGGCGGCTGTCATGGTGCTACTGGTTGCTGCAGCTTGTGACGTGGTGGGATGTGGGGGTTCCCTTGGAGGTGAGTGTCATGGGAGTATGATAAAATGAAAAAGAGCTGGCTCTTTCAACTGAAGAAACCCAGTCAGCTCTGAGCCAGGCATCCGCAAAAGGACTATGTGAACAGGCTTTCCTGGGACATTTGGGGCCAGTCTTTAGGCAGGCAGAACCCTAAAGGGCACAGCCCCTGCCTCCTGCCCCTAGGCTTCTAAGCAGGCCCTCTCCAACCTACCTATCAGGGGAACCATGGAGCTGTCCCCTGTCATGAAGCATGTTTACTTGTTGCAGGTTGGTAAGCCACCATTCAGGGAGGGCCTATTGATCCTGCTGCCTGGACTTTAAACTCAGAATCCTGCTTTTCCTTCTAGCAGACGCCCAGTGCCTGGGAATGATCTGAAAGCAGAAAGTCTGCTGCTTCAGGTATGGCTCCCACCTGGCCCCACTTTGGTGGTGAGTGGCCACCACCAAAGTCTCTATTATCCAGATTCCAAGCCTTGGAGGTGATGAGGTGAAAGTGACTGATGAGGCCAACAATAAATAGCATACTTGGCACCCAAGCCCATGTTAACTCACCACATCCCCTTTACAGGAGGCTCTACCTCAAGCCTATAAGAGAGGAAAGAAAATAGATTTTGGGGACTTCAGAACCAGCACCAAAGCAGAGCCCAAGCACCGCTGCCCATGAGATCCTGGCCATGGGGCAAGTGTGGAGGTGCTCTAGAACAGGGCCCAGTTGGTGCTCCCCTCAGGCCTTTGGGAGCTTTTTCTCCTCCCACTATCCCACTATCCCACTATCCTTCCCCCCAATTTAGAACCATCTCAGATACCGTCTTTCCCAGGAAGCCTTTGTAGATGAGTCTGAGCTGATGGATGATTTTCCACTTACCACGGAATGTCATACCTACAAGCTCCATCTCTACCCCACTGGGGGCTATTTTACTGGGACTCACAAACTTGTGTCAGCTCTAGCATCTTTGACTACACTAGGAGTTAGGCTGATGCCACCCACCCCTGGGGTTTTCCTGGCCTCCTGCTGCTTCTGAGACACAGCCTTGCCCTTGAGCATGTACAGTGCTGCTTTCTGTTGGTGTGGATGGGCCAAACCTCAGTTTCTCTAGATTTCACTCCCTATGTACAGCGTAGCTATGTTGGACTAAGGATGGGCACTTTAAAAATAAGTAACCTAAGATGCTCAATTCTCAGGTCTGCCTGGAATACTCTCAACCCACACCCCTACAAATCCTTCAAGACCAGGTGAAATGTCACCTCAGACCTTCTCAGAAAACATTATCAGGATCTGCCCTGTGCTACCACATCACTTTACATTATTGTCTGTGGCCAGCATGTACTGACTGTTCTGGAATCTGGAAATCTGGAAGCCCTGCATTCTTTGAGCAGGGATTATTACAATAGAGCACAGTGCTTGGACCAGTGTGATCTAAATGAGGATGCATGGGTGAATAAATAAATCCCTCAATTCATCATGTTCATCCCTTTAAAAAAAAATCTGCAGCCAGGAGCAGGTATGTAGGGGGATTGGACAGAGAGGTCTCCATGGTCTCCAGAGAGAAGATGTCAGGTATCCAAGTCCTAGGCCTATAGGTCAGAATGGGGCAATAGTGGGCATATCCCAAGGGAACCTGAGCCACTGAGGCAGGGGATGCTTCCAAGCCATCCAGCTTTGGGTCTTTTGCTGTGCTGAGAGTGGCGGTGCCAGAACTGGGACAATGGCTGGGTCTGGCAGAAGGACCCAGCCTTTTTGAAGTGACAGAAAGTTTGTCCTAAATCTGACTCAGCTAGAAACCTGGAAGTGTGGTCTTGGATACCTGGGGTGTCTACAGGGGGAGACTGGCAGTGGGGCACTGAGGATTGGGGAAGGGGCTGGGCCTGATGTTTCCAACCAGAGCTCTGCCTGGAGAGGCTGTGCCCGGGACTAATTGGCTCACCCTCCTTCCATTGCTGCTGGAGAAAGTCTTGGCTAATTTGCCGGAACGCTCTAGTTAAATGCCAATTAGGACATTCTGTCCACTGCTCTCTTCCAATATATTAATAATGTAATTAAGCATTTATTGCCTGCACAAATTAAAAATTAACTTAAATGGACAGGATGGAAAAGTGAGAAAGTGACCGTTTAAACAACCAATTTGCATCTTATTCTAATATCAACATCTAAACAGCCCTGTCCAGGGTGCTAGGTTTGGCCTTCCAGTGAGGGGCTCAGCCAGAGGCCAGCAGCTGCGGGTTCTCCTCTATGCCTGATTCTACCTGTCTTGCCCCAACCCTAGGTGTGGAGGACACGGCCTTGCACACAAAACAGCAGGAGGGCTTTCTGCTTAGTGTATACCTTTTTTTTTTCCTATTGACCCTACTCCCTCTTCCAGGGGCCTATGGTGTGGATTTCAGTGAAAAAGAGAGGCTACCAGGGCTGGAGGGGCTGGAGGGAGGGGCAGAGCCTCGAGGCCCTGGCTTTCCCACCCCTAGGATTGATTTGTCCTGCATTCCAGCCCAGGAGATGGGAAGCAGATGGTGCTGGTGTGGGGAGGAGGTGGCCAAGCTACAAGACCTTCCCTGCAGCCAGCCCCACGGAGCGAAATGGGGGGTGGGGTGCCAGCTGTGTTCCAGGGGGAGCTGGGTTGCATCGTATCCTCAGAATAGAAAATGAAAGGACACAGCTCCCTCTTTGCTGTCCCTAGGGATCTGTCTAACACAGCAGGTGTGACACTGCTGGTTTTCTTCTCCAGGGAGCCACAAGAGGGGTCTTGGCAGGAAGGAGGGCAGCAGGGAGTGGAGACCAGAGGGGTGAGGCAGGTGAATGGGGCTCAGCAGCTGTGGGAAGAAGCCAGTGTGGCCCTGGGGAGCACTGCTTTTCCTTGAAGGCATCCCAGGCCTCCCTCTGAAGGAGGAGCCTAGCAGACACTGCCCTTCTCCCCATCTCAGCCTCCACCCTCTGTCCAAGGTCTTCCTACTTGTGTGGGAGACAGTTCCACCACAGCCTGGGTGCATTCTCCTTGGGGTCTCCTGCAAGATAGTGAGGTGAGGCTGTCACAGACTATGGCTTTGGGCATAGGGTGGGGGGGCTCCCATCTTCTCCCCTACCCTCTTGCCAATGTATCTTTTCCAGCATCACCTCCATCTTCCCCACTGCAGTGACACAAGGCAAACAGGTTTGTGTTAAACACTTTATTTATAAAAAAGTACATTTTTCTTCCTCAGTACATTTTTCAATCCATCTTTTTTTTATACAAGTAAAAGGAGGTGATCCAAACACCCCTTAGGTCAGAACCAGGAGAATCTGCTGGGCCGTCCCCAGGACCAAAGACGAAAATGGTGACGAAGAAACCGAAGCAAAGGAAGCGAGTCACACTCAGAGGTGAGGGTGGCAGCTTCTCCTGGATTTTGTTTCCATTTGTACAAAAAAAGGAAAGCCATTTTTCCTGACCAAGCCCATTCCTCACAGCAGGGTCAGAAGAGCAGCAGCAATGGTGGCAGCAGCGTGGCCTGGAGCCCTAGCCTCCCGGGCATCGCCCTTGCCCCTCCGCAGGAGAGGGTTTCCATTGGCAGTCAGGCCTGGCAGGGCCTGGGAGCTTGCCCCCTTGTCCTAGGAGAGGAACACAAGAGTCTGCCAGGCTCAGTCAGCTGCCTGCATCCACCTGACACAAGTCCCGATGCTTCTGCCTTGAGGATGGCAGAAAAGTTCTTGGGCCAGTGGCTGGGGCACCTGTGGAGCCGGCAGAGGGGGCACATGCTCAAGCCCTGGGCCTCTGTGGGTCTCCTTCGGGCCTGAGCACTGGGAGGTCCCCGCTTCTCCTTCAAGGCGTCCAGCAGGGTACAGCCATTCCTCTGCCATGTCTACCTGTGTGTGCTGAGCGCCCATCTGGGCATGAGTGTGCACGCATGCACACACACACACCTGTGCTTGGGTCTGTGCGAGGTGCGTGTGCCCGCCGTGTGCATGTGTGCTAGGCCTGAGGTGGCTGCACTTGCAGCCTTGTGTTCACTGATTCTGTGCTGCTGCTTTTCAGATCCTCTGGCAAGAGGGGACTTGGATGGTCGTTGCACATTAGAACGATACCAAAATCTGCAAGGACACACGGGCATAGGGGTAGACAGCAAGGACCAGGAGAGCAACACGAGGCAGGATGACGACGGGGGAGGCCTCGGCACAATGAATACCAAGTTTATTTTATTTTCAGCAAAGCAGCTCAGCTCATGCTGGGGGCATGAAGGAGACGCAAAACGTCCACATCTTCCTGCTGGGCTGGATCTCCCTTTGCTAGCTATGTCTGCAGCCCAGCAGCAGTACCCACTGCTGGCAAACATGGGACCTGGAAAGCCCCATGTACCTAGGCCATGTGCTGACCCCTACCTCATGCCCTCTCTTCACCAGGGCAGCAGCTGCCTGGCAGGCTCCTGACCCCAGCTGTGTGGACCCCACAGTTTGTGCTTTGCTTGGGAGAAAGGTGTGGATGTGGGGACCAAGTGCTTTGGCTAGGCCCAGAGCCTCCTTGGTCTGTCCCCAAATGAGGAATAGTTAGTGGCAGTGTGGGGGAGACGCAGGAGGACGAATCTTCTGTTTTGGGGCTCCACAGGGACAGAAAATGCCTCTATCAGGTAGAAGCCTTAGCCTGCTTCCTGCCTGGGCACAAGGGAACCAAGAAGAGAGGCCAGACTGGCATGAGGAGGGATGGGACAGTGCTGTAAGGTGGGAAAGGTCCCCTGCCCCAGGGGACACTAATACTTCGGGAGAAGCGGCCCAGCTCCTCCACTTCCCTCTGCCCTGGGACTAAAATGATCCTAGATTTTTCTTCTCACCTCCACCTCATCCAGTGTCCCCCATGCCATGAGGGGAGAGCCGCCCCGGGGTTCACATGGCTTCAGACTTCTGCTACGTGGCTACTGGGCGGCCTGGACTAGGGTCAGGGCAGTGAGGGCTGGTGAAAGTGGCCCAACGGGTGGGCCCAAGGTTGCCAGGGCAGAGATGGAGGTTCAGCTGGGGTTCAATAGCAGCACCAGGGAGGGAGTAGGTGGGGACTGAAGGGCTCCCCTAGGAAGCCTATGGCAGGGTGGGTCAGTGCCCGTGGGGCACAGAGTGGTTTGCCTCCCTCCCCCCAACACTGGCCATCCTACAGAGCTTGACACCCTGGGCTGAGGGAGCTGAGATCCTAAGAGGCGGGCCTAAGGGCGCTTGGGGCCCGCTCCTGTTATCCCAGGGTCTTCCCATGGGCACGTCTTTTGGAGTGCCAGGGCCCTGGGGGGCAGATGGAGGAACTGAGGCACTTGGAGCTGGGAGATGGAGGGGGCTGGGAGAGGCCTTCCTCCATGGCATCTGTGGGAAGGCCCAGTCCTGGTTGCCCGAGAGAAACCCCAAGTCCCGCTCAAGGAGGGAATCTGTGCTCGCAGCCCAGAGCAGGCACCAGAGGGAGCGGAGCAGGGAGTGGAGGGTGGGTGAGCAGTGGGCTCCCTGGCTTCTCCACCACCCTTACATTTTTTGGGAGGCCCATGATGTCCACACTGGCCTTCATGTGTGAGGTGCTAGCTGTGCCCCTGCCTACCAGGCTGTGTGCAGAGCTTTTCCCATGCAGAATTCTTTCTCTACATAAATACTTCTTTGCCCCTGACTCCTGCAGGTACTTCTGGGATCCCAGCCCTGACTTTCCAAGAGAATCAAGTGTTGTTAGCACTTGACAGATAAGGGAGAAATCTGAGAAACTTCCATGTTGTAAGGGGAAACCCTAGAGTGGTGGCCTCCAGGAGGTTCCATCCTCGATGTCCCTGGAAGTTTCCACAGGCTGCTCCTACCCCTAGCTGGGAACGGGGAAAGAGGCGGAGCAGAGAGGGACAGGCCCTAGGCAGGGTCCAGCCTGGGTGGGGCATGTGATCCCAGGGGACAGCAGGCAGCCATAGGGTGGCGTGTGTGCATGTACGTTGTGCATATGTGGGCACAGGCATACAGGAAGTGTGGGCAGAGTCCACCTGGGGTCCTCCCCTCTGCGGGGAGCAGACTAGGGGACGGGGAGGGAGGCACCAGAGCTGGGTTGACTGAGTCTGTAAACCAATGAGGAAAAAAATGTAATACCACCTTCACCAGGTAAGCACACTGCCCAAGCTCCAGGTGGGAACCTCAACAGAATCACTTAACAAACAAGATGTCCCTGGGTGCTCTGGAGAAGTCACACCCCCACCTCTAGGTCACACCAGCTGTCTCGATGAGGCCCCACACCCCAACTGCATCAGCTTATGTGGGGGTGTTGGGTTCCCTCTCCTTGGGAAGAGGAGCAGCATTCGGTGGAGGGGGTAGGGGATCTTCTGCTTGGAGCCCCTCAGCGCTCCTCCCCAACAAAGGGAACACAAACAAATTCCAGTGTTGGGGGGCCGGGGAGGGCTGGCTCCCCAAACCCTGGAGGGATGCCCAGGTACACAAGACAAGAACAGGGCTCCCCACACAGAGGGCAGTGGGGGGGGTCATTGAAGAAAGGTATAGCAACACCAAAGCCACAGTGGAACACAACACCACAGGGGAGGGCCGGAGGAGGAGCAGGAAATCAAAACAACGCCAGGTCAGGGCTGCCCTCCACTTGCCTGGCTTCCCAGGAGTTCAGGGCTGCCTCTGGGCAGGAGCTGAGTCTCTGTGTAGCTCCCGAAGGAGCTGGCAGCGGGGCAGGAAGGGGGCGTGCGGGTAGGGGCAGGGAGATGTGGGCACAGACAGAGGCCCCAAGGAGGGGCTACACGTACCACTCCTTCTTGGAAATGAAAGACCCGTCGTTCTGAGAAACCATGTTCTCAGCCAAGTCCAGCTGCTCAGGATCGTACTGGTAGCTCAGAGTCCGGTCCCCGTAGCCGTCCTGCCGGGCCTCGGCTTCATCCACTGTGAAGTAGGGTGGCCGCTTGGTGTCCTCATCGTATTTGGGGTGGGAGCCGCCCATCTTGCGGTCACCCCCTCCGTCTTCCTCCTCTTCCTCTTCACAGCTGCTGCCGCCCAGCGGGCCGGCCTTCTTCTCATCGTCTGAGTCATCCGGGTACTGCAGGTTCTGTGCCATGGGTGGGTGGTGCTGAGGGATGCCTGCCTTGCTGTAGCCATTGCCGTACACGTGCTTCTTGGTGCTGTAGTCACCTTTGAAGGTGTGCCGACGCCGGCGCAGGGCCACCAGGATAGCGCCGACCACAATCAGGACCAGTAGGACGCTCCCCGCCACGCCCCCAATGATGGCTGTAGGCACTGGCCCCGCGCGACGCCCATGTTCAGGTGGAGACGGGGTGTAGGGGAATTCTGGGTGAGGAAAAGAGATGGAGGGGACAGTGTCAGCGTCTGATCCTGGGGGATCAGCAGGGGCGGGGAGGGGACGGAGGCAGGGGAGGAAAGGCTGGGCTGGGAAGTGCATACCCCTGGCTTGAGCCCCAGTTCCAGGAGCCCCTTGGCCTCCCTCCCTTCCTGGAGCCCAGCCTGCTGTAGAGTTGGCAGCTGCGGTGCGACAGGCAAGAGGAGAGGTAGAAGACCGCGCCCACGTTGCCAGGTTTTTCCACCCTGATCATCCTCTGAGGTGGTAATCCCCCAGCCCTAACACAAACTCTTGGTGTCCCTGTGCACTAGCATGGATGGGGATCTGCTGGGTGCTACTCACTGTCACAGCTCTACAAGGTAGGAATGCCATCATTGCTGTTGAGCACATCAGCAGACAGGGTTTAGGGCAGTAACTTGCCCAAGGACGCCCAGCTGATGGTGCAATGTTGCCTGTATCGATGTCACCAATCCCCTGGCTGCTCCCATACACAGCTGTGCTCCAACATTATCCTTGTGACTCCATGGACTCAGATCCTAGAGCAGACTAGGTGCCCTGCATCTGCCCCCAGGGCACAAATGAGTTTCCATGCTCTGGCTGGGAGGTGTCCTGCAAGTACCAATCAGCTGCCAGAGTATCAGAAACCAGGGCTGGGGCCCTTGTCTGTGGTCAGGTCCTGTGGACCCGGCAGAATACAGGGCCAGACAGAAATGGGAGCTGGGGAGCGTGTGTATGCAGCGAAGATCAGCACACGGCACAAGCACGTGCACAAGCATGCTGCTGTGATGATGGGTGTATTCAGATATGGACACCTTGAGGACACTGGAGATGGGAAGAGAGTAAAGGGGAAAAGAAGAGAAGAGATTAGGGGGCAAGAGACAAGTCTGCTGGCTTTTACGGCATCTGGGCCAGGACACGGTGTGGTTCTGCTCTGGGCCTTGCAGCCCTGCTCTTGCAGGGCTTGGGGAGATTGCATGAAGTCAGGCCAGGCCAGAGGCCACAGAGGTCCCAGGGTGAGGCTCAGGGAGGTGGTTCTCAGCACCACCACAGGGTGGCACCGGAGACCATGGCAGGCCCAGGGCAAGACAGGAGGCTGATGGGGCAGCTCTCCTCCTCTCTTTGGCCAGGGTGAAAGGGTCTGCTTGGGCCTATAGTGAGGCCCTTGGAAGTGGGCTGCAGCCAGCTCACTCCGTGATTCAGTGTCACTCACTGCATTGGAATCAAGTTCCTCCTGTGAGCCCCACCCCCTCTGCCGGGTGGGGTGGCCTGAACCAGTGGGGTGCTCTCCCAAGGGTGGAGATTCTGGGAATCAGAAAGGCCTTCTCTTAGCTGGAAGGGCTCAGGAAAACACATGGGGCCCAGAGAAGGGGAGGCCATTTGTCCAGGTCACATGGGTGAGCTGGGGCCACTCAGATACTCCTGTGCCTGGAGCTGGTGGAAGGACTGGGTTCCCCATTTGTCACCCCTGTCCTCAGGGCAGGTCATTGAGGAGCTGCCTATAAATATTTCCTGAATGTCTGTCCTGACTGCCTGGCTCTGGGACAGGCTCCTGGATCCTCAAGCTCCTCTCAGCACACCAGGTCTGTCTGTTTACTGCCCTTAGAATGGCCCCACACCTGCTCTCTTGAGAGGAGTGCCAGGGCTACAAGTATCCTGCAGCAGCAGGAAGGAGCTTTGCTTCCTCTGTACTTCCAACTTGCTCACTTCCTCTTCAGTTCTCACCAGATCTCAATGGTCCCCTTTCTCCTTACTCCCTCGTCCAATCAGCACACATGTCCTGAATCCCCCTTAGCCATGGGATGCAAGAACCCCAGCCTTGCTAGGGAGCCAGGTGACATGCTTAATGTCAGAGCAGCGAGCAGCTACCAAAGGACCTCGCAGTGGAGGCTCAGGAGTGTAGGGGAGTGACAACACTGCTGTGGAGCTGCAAAAGGCACCTTGGAGGAGATGGGAAGGATGGTGTGGACTTGGGAAGGCCAGGAGAGTAAGCTGGGGCATCCAGCCAGAGGGACCTGCCTGTGGTTTCTGAAATGTGCCCCTTGCCTTCCATCATAAGAACTCCCTGACTTTGGCACTCCTATGGGCATTCTGTCTTGGGCGGCACTGCTGAGCCTTTTCTTGTTCTCACTGTCTCACCAGAGGGTCTGCCTGGGGCCCTTCAGCCTTTACCCTCTGCTTTCTTTCCCAGTGGCATACCTGGTCTTAGTTTCTTAGTTTCATGGTTTTCACCCTTGTTCTTCTGGTTCTCCATACTATTTCAGAGACCCTAGAACTTCTCTCTCCTAAGGCCTCTGACGCAGGATTTCCCAAACTATGGCTCAAGGAACCTCAAATCACAGGCTCAGAGGGTCAAGAAAAATACTAGGGTCAAACACTGTGGGAAACACTGGCTTATACTTCAGAGTCCTATTGTCACATGCATTGAACTAAAAGAGAGATATGTAACATAGTGTTTCCCAACTTCTTGGCAGAGGAAGGATTCCTATTTAGGAGTACACATTTGAAAAACTTCCCTATAGTACATTCTTACTTAAAATTCTCACTACCAACTCAAAATTCATCTGTTCCAACATAACTTGTCCTCTCCATTCAGCACAAGTCTTCTGGGTCCTCCAGTGCCACCACTCTTTGTCTACTCTTTCAGCTCAGAATCTCATTCATCTTTGAATTCAGAATCAGCTTTAAATACTATTGATTCTTCCCGTCCATGATCTCATCCCTCCATGCCAGGGTTTCTTGTTGTGCACCCTGGATTTCCCACCTTCACTTGAGTCCTTACTCCCTCTCATTGCCCCATCCACAGATACAAGGTTAATTTTCACTTTATGGATATGAGTACTCCCTTTCTCAAAGGCCAGCAATAAATCCCCTACTGCCATGGAGTCAGCCCTGCAAGATTCCATCATGCAATTTCATTTTGGGATTGACTAGCTGGCCTTCCTTCCCATCTGCTACAGTTTGGATAAATGTCCCCCCAAAGGCCTACAGGTAGAAGTCTTGCTTTCTAGCTTGTAGAACTATTGGAAGGTAGCAGGGGGCTTCAGAGGTGCTGCCAGTGGGAGGGTGTGAGGTTACTGGGACTTTATTTTTGAAGGAAATAGCGAGACCCTGGCTTCTTTTTGCTTCCTGGATGCCAGGTGAGCAGCACCCTCTGCCACACACTCTTCCTGGGATACTGCCTTGCTTTAGGCCCAAAAGCAATAGGCCAACTGCCCATGGACTCGAACCTCAGAAAAATAAACTTTGCCTTATTTTAACTAATTGCAGGTATTTTTGTCATCGCAATGGAAAGCCACCTGTCACACTGTCCTCCAGGGGTGTTCCTTGCTGCAAGCCTTTGCTTTCCACTCCCTGCCTACTGCAGTTCCGCAGTCCCTTCTTTATGCGGCCTTCTCTTCTCTGGCCTATACTTCACTTTTCCTCTAATGGTCTGTACCTCTTGTGCTGCTCTGAACACCCGCCAATCCCATTATTTCATTAATCACAGATGAAGATATGAAGGATAAGTATGTAGAAATTACGATTAACCACCACTAGCTCAGCTTATTTTGCCAGTTCCCAAATGGCTAAAATTGCTCTCCTTTGCTGGAATAAGGGGCAGGATTGTTGGATGCGATGCCCTCATAGGCTGGCACTGACTATTTTTGTGTGTTAGCCGTCTACAGAATTAAGGTCCTTAGAGGTATTTTTCTGTCTCGTTGATAGGCCCAATAAAAAAATAAAGCTCCCAGGTTTGACTTGACTAGGTTGAATTTTTTGATTCCACTAATCACCGTATGGTGGGGTTTCCTATATTTTCTGTTTCACGAGAATGGTTGGTGGCCCAGATAAGTTTGAAATTATACCTCAAAGTACACTCAGGACCCACGCATGCCTCCCCATCCCCATTATGACCACTCTGGTCCAGACACCATGGTCTCCCACACGGATGACTTACGGCAATAGCCACCTAACTGCCATTCTGATTCTACCTTCTCCTGCTCTGCGCTACTTTCTATAGAGCCAAAGTGCAGAGCGGACCTGGTATGTAGAGTGTAAGCTGTATCCCACTGCTTCTCTGCCCAGAGCCCTTCAGTGGCCCTGATTCACTCACAGTAGAGGCCCAAGTCTGCACAGCTTACTGTGCAAGAACACTCTCTGTGACTTGCACCCCACCCAACTTCTGTCCCCATCTTCTTGTTTTCTTTCAGGGTCACCCCACTCTCTACACCTTCTACGCTCATGGCTTTTGCACCAGCTGCTCTTGCCCTGCAAGGTTCTTCCCCATCTTATATCATCCTTTTCAGGGCATGGTTCAAATTTCACTTTCTCATGAGGTCTTTCCGGAATAATTCTATTTAAAAATTGTAACGCATGAACCTCCCCCTGCCTCTAGCATTTATCATTTCCTGACTCAATTTTTTTTTTTTTTTGGTTTTACATTTCACCTTTAGAATTACTACAAAGCATCACAAGGACAGGGACTTGGTCTGTTTTGCTCATTGATGTAAACTGAGTGCTAGATTACCTGGCACGTGGCTGGAGTTCAAGACATATGCGTTGAATGAAACAGTGAATTCTCTCATGACAAGGTTGTATCTGGAGGTGAGCCTCAGGAGACTCTCAAACCAGGGATGGGACACACTGGGGACCTCATTTCACTGGAGTGGGGCATAGCAGGAGCGGAGTGGGGGTAGATTATATCGGGCTTCTGTCCCCTTTAGGACCCATGCTTAAGCTCCCTGCCCCTGTGCTCTAAGGAAGTTTATTCTTCTCTGGGAGATCTTTGGGACCAAAGGGAACCCTAGTTATTTTGGCTACTTTAAGGTCATCCTTGGCAGGGTCTGAGGAATGGTTGAGGTAGCTCCCAGGATTGCAGAGTTCAAGGCAAAGGTCCAGCAGAAGGGGCAGATGCCGGGACCTGACTCAGGTGCAGGCTGGAGGGGCTGTTCGGTGCGGGGTGCAGCACCCTTCCCCTCCCCCTTAGCCCTCCAGCTGTCACATTCAGCCAGTAGCTCCTGTCCCTGTGCCAGGAGCGGAGCCACAAGGGCTGCAGCTGGGAGGAGAGAGAGGAGCCGGCAGTGGGCTCATTTGAGCTTGCTGGCAGGGGCACAGCCAGCCTCCCTCACATCCTCTTACAAAGAGAAAGCTTGGCTTTTTTCCTGAAGGGTTGCAGCCTCCCCTCTGGGATGCTAGGCTGGCCAGGACCACAAGGCAATGGGACTTTGCACTCCCTTGGGGCCTGATTCTCTGACAGAGGTCGGTGGGCTAGTGTGAAGGGCCCTGGGTAGATTTGAAAAAAAGTGAAGTTAGGGTTTAAATGTGGTTATAGAACAAGTTGCAGTGATGCAAGCTCAACTAATTGGAAGGCTGAGATAGGAGGATTGTAGGTTCAAGCCCAGCCTGAGTAATTTAGTGAGACAATGTCTCTAAAAAAAGAAAAAGTCTGGGACTATGGCTAGGGGAAGCTATGAGTTTAATCCCTAGTATTGGAAAAAACTCCAAACAAACCCCAAACAACTTCTGCATCTTGTATCTGGAGAAGGTCTGGGGTGAAAGAAAATGTTTGGGGTTACTGCCAAAGCCCACGCCTGATGCTTCCTTCAGCAGGAAATGCTCCTGCATTGGAAGAGGCTGAGAGGCTGCAAGAACTACATCTCCCAGCATGCAGAGCTGGCCACAAGGAGAGGGGTGGTGTGGAGGTCACGTGCTGGGAAGCCCTGCCATCCTGCAGCTGCAGCAGCTGTGCATTGTGTCAGGCCATGAGATAGGGCTTCAGCAAGCTGAGGGGGACCAAATCTTCCCAGAGGCACGGATGCAGCTGCATTCTCAGACTCCAGTACACCCTGCCATTTGCCAACATGGCGAAGGGGGCATTTGCTCATGGCCCAGCTATGGCTCATGCCTGCAAGCTCAGCATGCACACTGTGGCCTGCCTGCTGACACCGGCTCACGTCTGCACACTCGCAGAGGCACATTTCCACACTCATGCCTAGGCAGAGAGGCCCTGACCTTATGCCTGCCATCCTGGACCCAGAGTCCTCTGAGCTGGTAGGCAGACCCTGTTACTGCAGCCCCATGAGATGACCCAGACTTCACCAGAAGTGAGAGATGGGACAGACACCATACACCCTAGTGGCTTCCCTGCTCTATACCAGTGAGTGGCAAGAGGCCTGGGTGCTCTCCTAATACCTGCAGAGATAGATGATGCCCACTTGGTCTCTTTTGTCTGTCAAGGTCCTATCTCAGGCCCCTCCCCACCTTAGGGTCACCCAGGAGAAAGGAGGGGCGTTCGGCTGGCGGCCTGTGGTGTGACTTGGGGCCAACCCCAGAATTGCTCCTCAGTACAAGGACCTCTGACCTGGGCTTTGTGTAAAAGACCGCCTTGGCTTTGTCTTCCCTCTTTCAACCCACAACCACAGCCTGGCCCACTGTTCTGCACTCGAGAGTTATTCATTGTGACAGCCCTTGCATGGTGTTCCTGGCCCACTGCACCACCTCCCTGTGAGCCTCCCGGAGCCCCCCACCCCTGCCCACTCAGCCCAGCCATTTGCCTTCCCTGCGTCCCCAGCACAGGAACCCTGACCTCCACCAGGCAGCCCACTCCTCACTACAGCCTGTGCACAGGCAGCTGCACGCATGCGTCTCTGGGCGTGCCCTGTACAGTGCGCTCTCCCACCCCACCCAGCTTCTCTTCGTTTCCCTCTCCACATGTGCCCAGGGCAAAGCTATTACCTGAACGGACGGCCAGAATGAAAAATTAAATTCCCATTTATCCCTCTCACTCATGCATTTCCTCCAGCTCAGTGGGACGTGGAGCACAGGGCACAACTGCGCCCCGCAGGCCTGTCCTCCCCCAAACCCCCGCAAACGTAGAGGCCAGTGGATGATGTGGGTTTCTGGGGCTGAGGTTGTCTGCTCCTTGCAAATTGCAAGAGCAGAATTAACAGCCCTAAGAAGGCTCTGGGCTCCTGGAGGAGTCCTGTGCGGGGGCGGGTCAACAGTGCCTGGACCTACCAGGGCTGGGTGAGCGACTCAGTGAGCGGGATGCATTCCTGGCTCCTGCCTCGCAGGCTGTCAGCAGCAGAGTCATGTTGCAGGGCTCTTCCAGCTGGAGGCCTGGGTGGCCCTGGCCCATATGCCCTGCAGCCGACACCACAGTGCAATGCTCTCTGCAGGCCTGATCACAGGCCTGACTGCTGATGCCACAGCAAGGACCAGGAACCAGGGCGGCAGTCTCCCAGCGGGTTCTTTCCTTCCACACCCTCCTCCCCGCTCCTGAAGTGGGTTCCCAGGGAGAAGGCCTGCACTTCAGTCTTCTGCTTAGCCCAGGGCTCTGGAAGAAGGCAGCTTGCGACTTTCCTGCTCGCCCTTCCTCTGGGCCTGGGAACGCTACTTATTTTAGCGGCTTGGCCTCTCATGCGGGGGAGTAGGGTCAGTGGGAGGACACTGCTGTTGGTTTACTGGCTTCCTCACTATTTCCCAATCAGGAGCTTCCCTGGAGGTCTGGGGTGGTAGAAGGGGATGTGGTGGCAGCACTGGCAGTCCACCAGGAGGGAAACGCATCACATGCAGGGAGCACTGAGGGTCATATGCAGCCTGAGACAAACAGCAAGATTACCCCCATGTTGGAGTTTAGGAGCTCAGAGAAGTGAAAAACCTGCTCAAGGGTACCCAGTTGGTCTTACAACATCTGTGATAATTTCTCATGGAGTAGCCCTGCTCTCCCTTGTTTCCTCCTGTGGCCCCAAGGCCAGCGCTTGGCACCTGGAAGGCTCTACATATGCTTCCACTTCAGAAACCCGAAGTGGCCCTCGCTTCTACTCTCCAACCCGTGGGAGTTCCCAAACCCAGGCCAGGGGAGATACTGCACTTTCCCCCTCTGACAAGGAGTAGAAGGAAATAGCAGGGAATGCTATTCTCTTGTTCCCTGGTGACAGACGACAGAGGAGCCCTGAGGAGGGTTAGGGCAGCTTTGGCTGACCGCTTTGCAGTCGTGCCTTGAACGTGGCCACACGTGAGGCCTCGCACGCCTGAGACAGAGAGGCTCAGAGGCATCCAATCCTGTAGGCTGCCCAAGCCCTGTGCCTGGACCCCAGGAGCTGCACCCAGTTTCCTGTAAGCCTTCAGAGACCTTCTAAGGTGTTACTTCCTGTCCACTTTGGCAGCAGAATGATGTCACTTCCTGTTCTAGAAGGTTTTTTTTTCTGTTCCTTTCTCACACTGCAGATAGCTCAGGTATGATGTTGAAGACATTCCATTTTGTGACTTTTATGGCAATTTTCTCTTCTATTGACCTGTTTTGATGCTTCCATTAGCAGCAGTGATAATGACAGGGGTCATGTAATAATCACAGAGCACTGGTTATTTAGTGACAGACTGATCTGTGCCAGGTTACATGACCTACATTATGGGTCATTCTGACATCGGCTTTTCTTTCAAGGTAGGTCGCATTCTCCCCATTTTATAGACGAGATTTGTTCAGGGTCCTGCGCCCTGTGAAGTCACCCCTGGAACATCCCTGCTCTTCTTGCCCTTTCCCCTGGGAGGCAAAGCAGCTGACCCACCTCATCTATGTTGACAGAGAGAAAGATCAGCAAAACAGCGGTTCAGGTACAGGACACACAATCCCATGGCTTTGAGCTCTTTGGCAGCTTCAGACCCTCCCACTTGAGGCGAGTCTTGCCCTGTGGCTCATATAGGTTTCCCAACCACAGGGGCACAGAGTGGAAGAGGCAATCTCGTCCTGCAGCCTGCCCTTGCCACGCCAGCAGCCCACGGAGGATTCTACTAGCTGGTGCACTGGCAGGCTCTATCCCCCTACAGCAGTACTGCTGCAAATAGCACTTCCTCCTCCTTTCTGCCCCTGTCTGATCTGGGGTCTCGCTAACTGTCCCATATAATGTTAAGCAAAGAGGAAAGAATAGCAAGACCAATGGCCAGAACTCCAGGGAGAACCAGAGAAGCAGGAAGAGAAGACATGTTTCTTGCGATGACACAGCCCAAATGTAGAGGATGGAGGTGGTGGAGGAACCTGAGGTGGGGGTGGCAGGGGTATGGGTGGTGCTGCAGCTTCCTACCTGTGATGTTGACTTCCACCTGGCCGGAGCGCGTGCCGATGGCATTGGTGGCCTCACAGACATAGGTCCCTGCCAGGCTGTAGGTGATAGGTCCCTTGAAGAAGAGGGTCCTGTTCTGGGGCTCCACGCCCTTGGGAAGAGAACCATTCAGCCTGTAGGGATTGGGAGATGCTGTGTAAGGTTCTGACTTTCCACCCCAGGAGCTGCCCCTGGGTCACACATCTGTCTCCAAGCCCACTGGCCTTTTGCTAAGTGGATGTGGTAGAGTCTGCCTTGGAGGGAAGAAAAATAGCAACAATAATCTCTTGTGTAGGTTAGCAAGATTGCTTAGCAGGCTAAGTGCCTGCTTAGGCAAGCACAGAGATTGGGGTTTGGTCCCTAGTACTGCATGCTGCACTGGCCACGCCCCTGAGCACTCTGAGCTGGCAACTGAGTCCAGGTGTGGTGGCGCACGCCTATAATCCCAGTGCCGGGGAGGCTGAAAACAGGAGTATCCCTATGAGTCTGAGCTGCATAGTGAATACATTAAAAATACATGTACTAAATACATTAAAAAAACCTCTTGTGCAGGCAATATTATATTAATCCAGCACTTCATATTTGGTCTTCCTAAAATTGACACATATGCTGAGGATGTGGGTTCCAATCCCACTTCACAGATGAAATCTGAAGTTCAAGGTCAAAGAAATATAGCTAGGACGTGGTAGAATAGAAGCTTTAGTCAGATCTCTATCTGGACCCTGGGTCAAATACACTCTCTGGGGGTGCTCTTTCTACTGTTCCGGTTCCTGATTATTGGTCCTTGGTCTCCAGGCATCTGGTTAATGATAGATATCTGAATCCTGTTCCCAGACCTCCTGAAGCAGAGTTACTTGGGCAAGGATCTACACAACTGTATCCCAGGAAGATATTCCGATAGCAGATAGGAATTTCTGTGTTCTTCCAATCCTGTGTGCTTGCTGGGCATGCCACAGGGCTTTTTCATGGAGGGGGGAAGTACCCGCACAGTTCGCCAATGACGGGGGACTTCCTTCCTCCTGATCCCTAGTGCCACAAAGCCGCTATCTAGCTGGCCCAGCAGCTTTGGGCTACATGCTGGCTCTGCCCACTCACATCTCCAGGAGCACTTTCTGCTCCCAGAAGTGGAGGGCAGCAGGTAGGGCGCACAGAGTGCTCTCCCCTGTGAAGGCACGGACTCTCTCTGGGCTGCTGTCTTCTGGCCAGCCATGTCCGCTTTCGTGGCTGCCCCTGTGCCCCATGCCTGTGTCCCATCTAGCTCTTTCTGGCGAAACATTGGCCCAGGCCATCAGAGCTGGCTGGAGGTAGACACGACTTTCTGAGAGCCAGGCAGGCGAAACGCTGTGAAACCAAGAATGGGGCGATGGGCACAGGGTGGACAGTCCATGGTCACAGACATTCTAGATTGACCACTGCCCGCACCCTGAGAATCTGGGAATGCTGGAGAGAAAGCGTAGGAAAGAGAATGATGTGGGGCACCCCAGGATGCCAGTTTCTCTGGGGACACCTTGGTAAAAATAAATACTAGGGCTGGGAGTGACTCACCCTGAGTCACCAAAGAAAAATGAAAAATTTCTTTATTAGTAAGACTAAGGGAGGCAGAGCATGGGTGAAGCCCCTCTAGCAGACTATTTTGTCTACTGACCCTGGCTCTCCAATACAGAGGTATATGTCTATGTGTGGGCAAGTGGGGGTGTTGTATGGTTCCCCACTTGTCACTGAGAAACCTAAGCCCAGACCCTAATTTCTTCACTGCCTGAGGCTCCTGAAGGTGGGGGTTGGGTGCCCCATGATCCAGTGGGGTGCCCTCCCAGGCAGCTCCCAGCCCAGCACAGGGCAGTCAGTCCACTTACGTAGTCCAGTGGTATTCAGTGGCTGGAGGGTTAGCATCAGCTTTGCACGTGAGCGTCACATCCATCCGCTGCAGGTACCAGTTGCCATCAAACCCCTCAATGGTCACCTCAGGCTCATCTGTGGGGCAAGGGGTGATGTTGGAACAGGGAGAGTAGGAGAGCAAGACTTGGGGGAGGAGGCTCTGGACAGTGAAGGGATGGAAGGAGCAGTGACATTGGAGCAGCTGGAAGAGGGACAGGGACGGTGGCATCAGCCCTCAGGTCAGAGATGCAAGGGGACCAGGAAGGAGAGGACAAGGCTCAGAGGGAAGGGGTGGCGGCAACACAGCACCCCAGGAAGATACATAGAGGAGGAAGGAGGAGAGGAGGACACAAAGGTCACAAGCTGCAGTGGGAAGGCGACCCCTGGCACCCAGCCCTGGCTCACACTGCACATTGAGGGTGAGGCTGTCCTTGAAGCGGTCCATGTGGTAGTTGACAATGCAGGCCAGGGTCTGCTGGTGGGCTTCCCGGCTGGGTACCAGGCGGTAACGGCTGATGACTGTCACCGTGCCATTGGGGTTCCGGATCTCCTGGTACTCAGCTTCACCTTTTAGCCTTGTTTCCCAGGACACCACACTGGGAGGCTTCCCATTGGCTGACGTGCAGGTGGCCACCAGGACCTTGTCATCTTGTCCCTTCTTGGCCTGAAGCACAGCTTGGGTACCTTCTATCCAGTTGGTGGGTTTGGCTGTGGGGAACCAGGGGACACCATGGGATTAGCCCCAATGCTTTCTTAAGCTGTACATGCACTTCCAGGCTGGATTTCGGGCCACCTGGGCCACGGAACCTCTCAGCCATACTTCCTCAAAACCTTTTCTGGAACTTCTGAGGGGAAGATCTTCTTGTCTAATATTCCCTCCCTACCCAACTGTCTGCACCCTTGTCTGTCAAACTCAGGCTTTCTTGGAGTCCTGGAATGTCGGGCCAAGCGGTTCCTTTCCTTATCATGGTGTCTGAGGCTCTGCCGGCTTCCTGGCCACCACAGAGTGTCCTACTGTGGGGCTTCAGCCTGAATGCTGAGCTTCCACCCTGGAATAAAGGCTCTGGTCCCAAGCCCTAGTGACTTGTGGGGCAGCCTAGCCAGAAGTGGGGCAATGCTGTCTGGGGCCATGGAGGAACATACCCAGGATGGCCAGACCCAGGTCACAGGCCTGTGGACAGCAGGGAGGGCTGGGCCAGCTTACCCATCACAGTGAGATTGAGCTGGCTCTCACGGTTGCCTGTAGGGAAGGTGGCAAACTCGCAGATGTAGACACCCTCATCCTCCAGCTCCAGGCGGGAGAGGCGGATGGTACCATCAATAAAGGAGGGCCTCAGGAACTGCACGCGCTCGCGGTAGGGAGCGAGCACCGAGACACCCATGGCAGGGTTGTAGATGGCCACATTCTGCTTGGAGCCGTTGGTGGCCTTCTGCCACGTGACCTGCGTGATCTTCACACTGGGCATCGGGTTGGCAAAGCTGCAGTGCAGCACCACGTCTGTGCCGATGAAGCCATACATGGAGTCGTTCACCTGTACCACCTGCGTGCGGGCACCTGGGAGAGAGATGGAGGAAGCGGTCAGCACTGAGAACGCCTGCCCGCCCCCACTGCACTCGCTGTGTGCTTGCCTTGTTTTGATTTTTCCGAGCAGCCATGAATTTTTAAATTTTTAATTATAAAACTAGTAATTACTTGTTATAGAAACACTCTGGGCTATACTGAGGAGAACAAGATATCTCATCATCTCATTGTTCAGAAACATCACTAACAATCTTAGAGGACCTGTCTTCTTCACCCTTTCTCTGCATATCCATAGAGCCATTGATATCACTCCCAAAGCAGAATCAGACCATAGATTGTTCCACATGCTGGCTTTCGCCTACTGATATATTATGAGCGTTGCTTCATGTCAGTAAATATATGTGTGCTCTCTCATTTTTGACTTCCAAGTGGAGCCCTAGCCAGGCCCCACAGGCTGCTTTACCTTCCAGGGCCCTGCTTCCCTCATCTGACAAATGGGGTGGATAATCCAGTCCTTTTCTGCCTCACGGGGTTGCCAGGAGAATCCAGTTGTATGACGCATGAGCGCATGCTGGGGAATAGGAGCGAGCGTGGGGGCTCGTGGTGCTGCCATCGCGGCTGCCCCTGTGGCCTTCTCCTTCACAGCTGGCTCCAGGCTGCCTGGGCTCATAGCCTGTCACCCAGCCAGAGGCCTCGGTGCTGCCCTTTGCCCGGTCTCTCTGGCTCCTGTTGCCTTACCAGTGAGTCTGAATGTCTTCGCTAGCTTTTGACATCCTCACCACCCGCCTTTTGTCTACCTAGCTCCATGAGCTGGGCATTCCAAACAAGTCAGCCTAGGCCTGTCCTTGAAGCGTGGCATGGTTCCACGTGCCCTTCTGTCCTTCCTCCCGTTTACACAAGCACTGTTTGCTGAGCATCTATTATCGGCACTTGGTCGTATCCGTGAGCAGTTCAGTCTGGCCCCAAGGAGCAGTGACTGCCCATGCAACAGTTCTCAACTCTTAACCTCGTACTTTCCTCAATAATAAGGCCTGTCCCCTTCATCTTTGGCAAACCTGATGAGGTCGTCTCCTCTGGGAAACTTCCCTGGGCCTCCCAGCAGGAGGTAACTGGCCACCTGAGGTACAGCTTTCTGCCTTGACTATTTATACAACTGACTTCTCCACCTGACTATGAACTCCTCCAGGGCAGGGTCTGTCTTTTCCATTTTGTGTCCCTAGTGCCCAGCCCAGCACCTGGCATACAGTACATACAGTAGATACAGGGAGATGTTGCTTGCCAGACAAACAACAGCAGAAGCCAAGAGAGGACAGGTTTACAAGGAGTGATCGCAGCATGGGATACAGGAATACCTCCACACACACACCCCGCCTCCCACCAGTTTCACCCCATCTGGAATGTCTTCTCTATGCACTTCGTTACCCCCATCATGGCTCTGCTCCTGTGATGTGGGGTAACCGGCCCCAACCCTAGGCTCTGCCCCCTTCCAGCATGCTGGCATCTTAGCCTGTCAAGTCCCCTCAAGCTGTGATCCTGCCATGTATTTGTGGGCTGCATGTCCTTTACTTGGTCAGTTTGTTAAGTGGCATCAAAGCCAGGACCTGTGCTGAGCTACCAGGAGGAGAACCCTAAGGAAGCCTCGGGCCCAAGAGGGGGATGTAGCACTACTGGCTGCCTCCTCTACATAATAGAGACGCAGGGGCAGGGTGGCTTCTCCTGAGGGCTCCAAAGCTGGAGGTCATTACATACGTTGTTCACCACGCCCCCTCCAGAGGGTACAGGTGACTGTGGAAGCCATGGTGCCTAGCACGCAGTAGGTACTTAAGAAATGCATACTGAAGAACTATATCTGCGGCCACGCCAAGCCAGGCCCTTGTCATGCCGAGAGATTCCCTGATACCTGTTCATATTCACACAGCCCATCAAGGCCCAGGGTATTCCCCACCCCCAGCTGGCACTGTGGCCAGTCTGTGGGTGCTTCCGTGTCAGTACCACACCTGACATCTCTCACAGAGGTACTGTGGTCTGGGGGTGGGGAGATGGGAGAAACACTGTGCATGGTCAGGGGCTGTGGGGCCTCAGCTGGTCACTTCTCTGGTCCAAAGATTTCCCCCTCCTCTCTGGAGAAGCAGGCTGGACTCCCAGTGTCAGGGCTCCCTTCTGACCCAGCCCAACCCATGCACTGCCCCAGGCAGCCCATGGTGAGGTCAGTGGGCCAGACAGCCCGGTGTTCTTGCTGATGGCTGGCTGGCAAGCCGCTGAGCCCTCCCTGCACCCGCAGGATAAGTCTCCACTCAGCGGCTGCGATACCATGGGCGGAATTGGGAAGCTTGCACCACACAAAGCCAGGAACTGGAAAAGCCAGTTGGGAGGGCTTGGGCCACAGGTGAGAGTTGGGGGGAGGGGTGTGGGCATGGTGAGCCACCTTGGGATCGGCGCCCACAGGGGCACACAGCCACCAAGCTCCCTGACCCCATCTGCTCTTACTCCCCCATGGGTGCGGGGACAGGCAGAGTAGAGGGCCTGGCACAAGCGCTAACATTCATTTGCTGCTTTAAAGCAGTGACCTCACCCTGACAAGCCAGGTCAGTGCCAGGAGGGGAGATTGTTGATGGCAGCCAGGGTAGGGGGTAGGGAGGGCAGTGGAAAGGACTCGGGTGCCTGGGTGGGGTGGCCCTCTCTCAGCCCTGAGTCTGTTGAGGTGGAGGCTGCTTTCCTTTTCCCCGTGGCTCACCTAGTAACAACCCCAGGGTGATGCACAAGGAGAGTTCCCGGTATGCCCTCACTGTGCACAAAGCGGGCACTCCTGGCCCCCTCTGTCCCACTGCTGCACAGGGTGGGGTAGGGCAGGCAGGACCTGAGGGAGCAGGCATACTCGCTTTTGCTCTCTACCTCTGATACAGCTGACTGCGGGGTCCTGGGAGCATGGGGGTATGCGCAGGGGGGTGGGCAAGGCTGGAAACTCTCCTCACCAGCTGTCTTCTTCCTCACTCTGTACCTGGGACCCAAGCTTCTGGCAGGGGTAACCTGTCTTAGTCCAGGGATGCAGGCTGGAAGTGGTCCCTGGTTCTTACACTGGACAGAGTGGGAGGCTTTCTGAGGGGAGCAGTGTTCACCCTTGAAGAAAGGAGTGAGGGGGCTGGCTGGGGTAGGAACCCTGGGCCTCACTTGGAAGGACTGGGAGAAGGCTCCAGGACACAGGGAAGCCTGCTCAGGGTGGTAGCCCAAGGGAGCCCCAGAGGCTCACCTGTCTAAACTGTACGGAAGTGTCCAGCTGTGACAGTCAGGAAGCTGATGCTGGTGGCTTCCCGACCCTGAAGGGGCCTCTCAGCACCACGGCCTTCAGGCAGCATGGTGGCAGTAATGAAGGTGTGGGTGTGAGTTGCATCTGTTTGCTGTGTAACCTTGAGTCAGTGACTGAACTCGTCTGTGGCTCTATTTGCCCTGAACAGCAGCATAATGGGGATTCTAATAGGTAGTACCTGTCTATAGAAGTGGTGCAGGATTCAATTAAGGGGCATAAAGGAAACTGAGAAACAGCGCTTAGCACAAGTTAGGGGCTCAATAAATGTTGCTATCACCACCGTCACCATCATCTTTCGCTTATGAAGCTGCAGAGTTCTCTCCTGGGACTCCAGCAAATGTTTACGGGGCAGCTACTCTGCACTGGCACCATACGGCAGCGACGAAGTCCCCCTCTTCTTGGACACCCTGGTGGCTCCCTCTCATCTCTTCTTCCTCAGCAAACACTGCTACTTCTCCCCCAGCAGCACACAGTAAGGGTCTATGCCCTTTCTTTTCTGGTTCCTGGTGCATGTGTAGAGTCTGGGTCCTCTCCCCCAACACATCACACTTTGGTTTGGGGCTGCATGGACGTGCCTCCCCGATGCTCACAGCCCAGGGCTTGGAGAATCCTCTTGAAGATTTCTGGTTCCCCAAGCATGACAGGTTGCTCATGGCGAGCGCTCCCTTTCCTTTCCTTGGGATATGGGGACAGGATGGATCACTGGCATAGCAGCCCACGGGAGCTCAGGTATCCACACAAGCCCTCACTTAACAAATCCAGAGGGCTTGAGTTACTTGCCCAGGGACATGGAATGGGAGTCCCCTGGCCGGTGCCCTTCCCACCCACCCCACTCCCAGACTTCAGCTCAACCCAGCTCCCCAGGAGCCTTGTTTGGGTGAAGGCCCTCCCAGAATGTGCCCTGAGCCTCCATAAGCCCTGTAAGAATGACTCAGACACTGGCTACAATAGTACGGTCATGGCCCCTGCTGGACACCTGTCCTGCAGTCCAATGACCGGGCATCAGGAACAGGGATTGAGGGAGCCCAAGTGGGGGACTGCAGGCGTCTGCTTTGTACAGAGCAGGAAGAACCAGAGAGGAGGAGAGAGCGGGTGGAGGCACTCATGGGAGCCTGCGCCCTCAGCAGAGGCTTTCTTTTTTTGTTGGCCCTGGGGATTGAACTTGGGCACTTTGCACTACGCTAGGTCCCTAACCCATTTTTATTTTTTATTTTGAGACAGGGTCTCAATAGACTGTCAAGTTGCCAAGGCTGTATTCCAACTTGTAATCCTCTTGCCTCAGCCTCCCAGACTGCTAGCACCACAGGTGTGCCACAGAGGCCTCCTTGTATCCCAAGGATAGCAGAAGACCCTCTTCTGTGGCCACAGCACCGCCTATATTCTTCTGATCACCCTAGAGCCCAGAGTCGGGATACAGATTGCCGGACTTGTGCTCAGGTGCCTCAGTTTCCCGAGGAAAGCTCAGCTGGGGCAGTTTGGATGATCTGCCTAGCCCAATGTGCTGAGCCAGCGAGGCAGGCATCGGGTCGGGCCCCCTGAACGTCACAGACCTGCAAAAGTCCCAGCTCAGCAACAAAACACAAAGGCTCCTCAGTTGTGGCAGACAAACCTGCTCTCCAAGGCCCTGCCCTGCCTGCCATGGAGCTGATCTGCAGGCGGGTGCCACAGGTTCCCACACAGTGGGGTGTGGCATGGCTGCTCCCCTCAACCCATTTCGAGCAGTTTGCCT